AAAAACATATCTTCTGTTTATATAATCTATATATTACAGTTAGCATTAATATATTTATTACATATACATATTATAATAATATAAAATATTAAATTATTTATTATGCATATTATACTTTACTTTAATTATTTTAAATTTTATGATTTTAATTATAGTTGTCCCTTTTTTTCCGTTTATTTTCTATTTTTTCATTATTATGTATTTTGATATATAATTTATATAAAAATTTATATAATTATTTAATAAGCTTAACTGTAATTTAAATTTATTAGATAGATAAAGATTATTTAAAATAGAATTATTTGAGAAATAAACATAATTTTTGTACATATAATAACAGATTTCTCATCTACTATTCATATTCCTCGTCGTTGAATGATTCCAATAGTAAGTAACTTGTGTTGGAATACTCTATTTCTCTTCGTAGTAAAGCAACACACGAATTTTCTCAGAACATGTCATAGGACTTTCCGCTTCTAAAACATATTCTATTTTGAGAATTCTGTACGTTCTACGTCTTCTTTTTATTTCAACGTTGTGTGGCGGAATTTTTAGGTCGACAGTATATTTCATCTGCACTTTTGGTAAAAATGTTTCCACTGGAAATGCCTTTATTCACAAAGGAGCGAAAATTCCGAGATTTATTAGAAACTAACTTGTGCTTATAAATTTTATAAATAATTTTATTTGTACATCAAATACAAATTGTAATATGTCACAAAATAATTCAGACAATTTGTAGAAATCAAAATGTTATTCAATAAGAAGAGAATAATATATTTAGATTTTAATATTTACGATCAAAAAATTTGTAATTTTTATTTCCTTCTATAAAACATAGTATATTTAAAACTATTAAAGTTTACCATAATATAAGATGTATTAATATGGAAAAATAATAAAATAAATCAAGATGTGTCGTTGCTTTTGTATAACTATGCATTTGTATAAGATGCTTATTTTCAGAAAAAGTTATTCATGGTTCAGCTGCTTCAAGAAAAAATAACATTCTTTGTGTTTTAACAATTGTATTATTTCTGTGAGAATTTGCTATACGAGTTTGATTCTTCTCGAATCAGTAGGCCAATTGGTTTTGATCCTATATGATTTATTAAACTATTTCATATGATTAATACCATAAATCTATTCTTTATTGCTTGTATACTCGTTGTATTAAACTGAAACGGACATATGTTTTGATAAAAATAAGAAAAAACTTAATATATTTCAATATAACGACAAACATATATGTAATCAGACGCATGTAATCTCAAATATGATAATTGTAGAAATTATATCAAATTATAAAAATAATATCCAAACAATAACATTTCTTATTAGACCGAGTATTTTTATTATTAATTATTATTTTTAACATCCATTTTTACATGGTTACAAGATAAATGTACAATCTGATGAATCTCATGATGTGATCTTTAATTCTCACCGTTATTAATATAGACATTTTAAATATTTTTGTCACAAGAGTGAAATTTATTCTTCATGATAATCCCTTATTTTCTATCTTCAACTTTGACATTTCATACCCGGTAACCGACTTTCCGAGAATGCAGTCGCGATAATTTCTCGGCGATAATCAATGCCAAAAGTCACACGACATTATCTAATCGCGTACTTTCCGCAGGATACAAAACCGCAGATTGATTTACAGTTGCATTCATATCTTACTTAGTTGGGCATAACGATTGACTGGTCTCTCTCGCGATGTTGCGATTTCTTTTGCTGTTCTCGCAAATCATCCTGTTGTTCTCGGCGATAGTTTCGTCGGAGAAGAAGGAACCGACTTGCCGTAATACCGACGGCTACAATATTTGTCATTACAAGGGGGTACTAGTCGAAGTTACGCAACATGGTTTCGAAGATCGATTGGACATCAGCGACTTGGATCTTCTGGCGATCCGTGAAGACGCCTTTAAGAATTTGACAGCGACGCATCTGTATTTGCAGCAAGGTAATCGGATATCCGTACTGAAGAGGGGATCCTTCCGCGGTTTGCCCAAGTTGGAACGTCTCCATTTGGACAGCAATGTAGTACCATTGTCCGAGCACTTGTTCGCGGAATTGCCACACCTGCTGTCACTATCGTTGGTTTTCAATAAGATTGACTCGATACCGAAGAACTCGTTTGCTGGCTTGTCAAGTTTAACGTGGCTCTACTTGGGCCACAATAACATTTCGGCGATCGAGGCGGAATCATTCGCGAATTTAAACCCCGAACTGCTGTACTTGTGGCTTAACAACAACAAAATCTCTCGCGTAGCACCAAATTCCTTCGTCGGCTTAACGGAATTGAATCGTTTGCACTTGGACTACAATCAGCTCGAGGGTTTGCCAAACGGTGCTTTCCGAGGATTGAGCAAGCTGGAAGATCTTTTCTTAAATGACAATCGGATAACGAGCATCTCCAAGGAGCTACTGCGCGACTTGGTTGGTTTGAAACGACTCTATCTTCAACGGAATGAGATCAGTACTCTTGAGCCGAGAACGTTTCAGGAACTATCTCAGCTGGAGCAATTACGATTGGACGGAAACAAATTGTCTCATATTGTAGTTGACATTTTCTCAGGGCTCTCCAATCTGCAAGATATCATGTTATTTGATAATGAGATCAACGCGGTGGATAATGGCGCTTTTTCGGATCTTGTCAATTTGAAAAATCTCGACTTTCGCGGCAACAACTTCACTGAAATCGATAAGGAAATTAGTGGCCTCCAGCCACATGTTCGAATCACTATTTAGAGATCTTATGACGTTTATTTTGTCTTATAATTATATTTTGTTACATTAATTAAAGAGACGTTGATCTTAAACTAACTTAAAATAATATAATATTTTATAATATAACATTTTATAAAGTGTTTTGTATCCAAATAATTTAGTCCCATAATTTTAATAAATTAATTAAACTAAACATTTTACTTTATTTTATTTCTTTTAGAAGGAAAAATTCTAAAAAATATCGAACGTTACAATTTTATCGTTACGCAATGTAACGGAGTACTACATTATTTTTTATTTTATTTTGAGATAATAAGTCCATGAATATTACAAATTGTAACATTTTATAGAATTATTTAAATCGGTTAGTTAGAAATAAATTAGCATAAATATTTAATAAAGAATCTAAAGCGCGTAATAATAATTTGATAATCCATTTATCATGATTAATTTAAGATATAAGAAATATAATCGTTTAATGTTCGTGTAAAAATTTATGAAAAGCTAAAGTTAAATTGGAGATTAGAAATATATAATTAATTTAATTGAGCAGTATTTATATTAGCCCATCATTTATTTTATTTTATTATGTATATTTAATTATCATGTAATATATATTTATTTTGTACATTGACAATCTGTTTGGAATATATTAATCTCAAGATCAAAGAAGCTTTCGTGTGAATAGCCAATAAAGTAACAATCAAATATTTTCGAATTATACAAGTATCACAAATATCTATAATTATAATTATAATTTAATCCAATTATAATTTTAATTTGCATATTTAACTTTTTACTATTCTGATACATAATAATCACCATGTAAGACGAGCGTATACTGATTGTTATTTAAAACGTAGAAAATGCATAAACGCAAAAGTGAGTGCAACAGGTGTCGCGTCACTTTTGGCTTATAAAGTTGATATGCCATGCTGATACATTACACAAATTTCATTATCTTGTGTTATAATTATGAATCTGCATAATTAACAACTTACAAATATATTAAAATGACGATCCTTTATCAAAATATTATCTATATTTTACACGATTTGTTCTTTTAATGTTGAAATAGACACTATAAATAATCAGTATTATACAATCAAATAAAAAAAACAAATTTATAAATTTATATCATTTAAATAAATAATAAAATTGTTTTAAAAATTGTAATATTAATTAGAAAACTTATTAATAATTTATTTTTGTGATTCTTTATACTTGAATATTTTGCAGTAGCTAAATTATTAGTGACGTTACCTGAGTGGTACTTACGTGCGTTCAGCATGCGTGTTATCAGTCAGCAGCAGTACATGTTGCTCCATATTTTTCGCACTACTTTTAAATTTTTATATTTTGAGAAGATTAAAATTATATGATATCAATAAATCAAGAAAGAAATATGCCACAATATTTTTTGTAATTGAATTGTATTTGATTTATTTGAATGTATTTGATTTGAAATTATGTTTGATTTATATTAAAAACTGAAATAGAATTCTGTCTTGATATATTCACATCATACAAATTTAATATCTTTTAGAATAGAGAAATGTACAAGCACATTGACAATTACTTATTAAGCACATTTAGTATAAGTTATTTAAATCAAAATTGAATAGAATAATTGTTTCACGATAATTACGGACGGTAATTAGTTTATTAATTGATAATTAAATCTAAATATTTTTAACATTGCACGCTTTGAAATACTCACTAATTTAAATATAATTTTTACATTATTTTGAAATACTTACGTAGACAGTCGAGAAATTTATTAAACGATACAGCAAATGTATAATAATAATTTTCTCTCTTGAGAAATATATAAGATATTTACAAGAATTATTTAGTGTTTAATTATCAAAAGATACCTCACACATGCAAATTAGACATTATTTGTAATATTCTTGAATATTTAATAATAGCTAAATTGGTAGTACGGCCTTTGGTAGCGTTTATATGCAAGACTTTATGAGTATTCAATGCGTTATCATCAGATGCGTTCAGCGAATACAACGGTTACACAATAATTCATTAACGTAATCCAAATATAGAGATCTAGAACAGTAAAGATCAATCACTGACGTTAACTGATCACTGTGTTTTGCTGATTCTCACTGGTGTTCGTGTGAACAGATAACAATACATGTCGTTTACATTTTTTTATAATGCTGAATGATATAATATTGCTGGATCTTATAAATGTAATAAATGCTAATTAAAATCGTATCGAAACAAGAATTCACAAAGCATATTACATACAAATATTATTTAATCTTCAATTATTCAAAGATGCTACAGTACCCGTGTAAAATTAAATATTAAACAATATTGTAAAAGGTATCTAATTTACACGAGGTACTATGATATCTTTAAGTAACCAAACATTAAGTTTATAAGATAGCAATATTTGATTTCATTTAACATTGATAAACAAAGATAATACAAAGAAATACGGAGCGACGCATACTACTACTTGCCGGTATCAATGCCGGTTACAGAATGATAGGGCGTGGAGCGTTTATAAACACGGGGCGCGCCACCCCCGGCGCGTAAACACTTCTCAAGGCTATATCAAACGATTTGTTGTTGCTATGTTGTTGCTATGTTGTTGCTATGTTTGATGAAATATGATATATTTCGGGATAGCGCGCTCTGTGTTTACGAGCGACTGCGCGCTATCATTCTGTTGTCAGCCTTTGTACGGGCAAGTAGCGATGTGCGTCGCTCCGCATATTCCGTTGTATTTTATCAAATAATGATATCAATTATTGCTATCTTATAAATTTAATGTTCGATTATTTAATTTAATGTTCGAAAGATTTAATACCTCGCGTAAGTTAGATATTTTTTGGCAATATTGTTTAATATTTCGTCATGACTACATTGTTTGTCGTGTAGCTTTGAGAAGTTTTTACGCTCGGGGGTAGCGCGCTCCCTGTTCACAAATGTCTCATACGCTGTTATTTTCTTACCGACTTTTGGATAAAATAGCAGTACGCGTTTCGCTTCGCATTTCTTTGCATTTCGTCAGTACTAAATAATATTAAATATTGTTATATCTTATAAATGCATAACAGTAAATGCTTATTAACTTGCGTAATTAATAAATCATAAGCGTTTCGAAACAGTGACTCGACAAAGTATATACATATATTATTTGATATTCGGTATTCAAAGATTCTGTATTTCGTGTAAGATATTTTTCTCAATATTTCGTCGTAGTTAAACCGTTGGTGCTGTAATTTTGAAAAGTGTTTACGCGCCGGGGGTAGCACGCTCCGTATTTACGAGCGCTCTGCGCATTATCATTCTCTTATCGGTGTTCGTACGGGCGAGTAAGGGCCGCAGCACACACTTCTGCATAACGCATAAGAAAATGAATCATCCATTTCTACCCTCACAAACTGGAAATGAAAGATTCTGATTGGTTCATTTTCTTATGCGTTATGCATTATGTATTATGCAAAAGTATGTGCTGCGGCTCTAATGGTGTGCGTCGCTCCATATTTCTTTGCGTTTTATCAATGCTAAATGACATCAAATATTGCTATCTTATAAATTTAATATTTGATTATTCAAAGATGTAGTACCTCGCGTAAATTAGATATACTTTTTGCAATATTATTTAATATTTTGTCGTAGCCAAACCGTTGGTCGTGTAACTTTGAGAAGTTTTTATGCGCCGGAGGTAGCGCGTTTTCTATTCACGAACGTCTCATATGTTATCATTTTCTTACTAACTTTGGACAGATAACAGTATTTCACGTTTCACTCCGCATTTCTTTGCACTTCATCAATAAATAATATTAAATATTATTTTATCTTCTAAATGCAAAAATAAATGCTTATTAACTTGCGTAATTAATAAGTCATAAAAGTTTCGAAATGACGACTCGACAAAGCATATACGTATATTATTTAATATTCGATATTCAAAGATATTGTAGTATTTCGTGTAAGATATTTTTTGCAATTTTCGTCGTAGCCAAATCGTTAGTATAGCCTTGAGAAGTGTTTACGTCAGGGGTAGCGCGCCCCGTGTTTACGAAAGCTCTACGCGCTATCATTCTCTTATCGGCATTCGTATGGACAAGTAGCAGTGTGCGTCGCTCCGCATTTTTTTGTATTTCGTTAATGCTGAATGATATCAAACATTGCTGTAACTTATAAATGTAATAATAAATGCTTATTAATCGCGTGGTTAATTCGTAAGCATATCGAAACG